TGTTTACACACTGCGTTTCTTTCTTATACGCTGATCTCGTCATTAGAGATTTAAGGGAGATGCCTGGTTTTTGTACATCCTTAACAGATAAACCTGATGTTTTAATTACCCTCTTACGTTTTGTAGAGATGTTATCACTTATATAAGTTACTACCCACGTAACGTGACTTTTAAATTTGTGTTCTGTTTTACTTTGGTTAATATAAACCTGTTTGCTTTGATTATGTATATCCAAATATTGTATACCGTTTAGGATATACTCTTGTGGGTAAGCATTATTCCATAAAAAATCACTAGTTTTTCTCTTGCTTCGTTCACAGCGGTTACATTATTACATAACTTATCAATCCTATGTAGAAAACCAATAACTACACCTCTTTTAATTGCAGGGGATGATGTGAGTAAGAATGAAGGCAAAGATATTTAGTAGATGGTTTGGTGAAAATACTAGTGGTAATTTTCCCATCCTTAACGTGAATGTTCGTATCTAAAAATGGTAAACTTCTACCCGGTGTTGAATACGCAAGAGTAAATTTTATAAAAGGATGAGCAGTATTTAGGAATTCATGGAAACTGATAAGGGATTATAAGGTTGAGATAAGGGACGAGGAACTGAAGATGGTTGTTATTAGTAAGACTCAGAACATATTCAGCAAAAACACATCCCACATCGTATGGCTCGTATCTAAATAAAGCAAGAACACATCCCACTTCGCATGGCTCGTGTCTAAATAAAGCAAGAACACGTCTCACATCGTATGGCTCGTGTCTAAATAAAGCAAGAACACATCTCACATCGTATGGCTCGTGTCTAAATAAAGCAAGAACACATCCCACTTCGTATGGCTCGTGTCTAAATAAAGCAAGAACACATCTCACATCGTATGGCTCGTGTCTAAATACGTATTTGACGTTGGTTTTTTTCGAGTTCTGATGTGATTAATACGAAACTTAGCCCATTATGAGGAATATAATGTTACTGCTAAATTTTTGATGAAAAAATAACGGGGATATATCCCCTCACCTATATAAGTTATACCTATGTATCCACCCTCATATAGCTATTTATTAATGTCTGTTTTGATTTGTTTGTTTTTACCAGTTTGCTGGTAACACACGATGAACTTTGTAACATATTGTGCTAAAAGTTGGTAGGCAGAGAAATTATTATTTTTTGTTTATTTAGACATGTTTACAAAAACCTATTTAGTCATGTCTCGACTGACCATTACTCGTATTTATCTGTACGGTTACACTAAACGTATATAAACACACACTCGCTAGTTCATTGGTATTTAATTGAGGGATGTAACAGGATTTTCCACTTGTAAGTATTCATTTTAGATTCATTTTGTATCAGTTAAATGGATTTTATAGATTCTTGCTATATTTCCTCAAAACGGGTAATGTTTGTAACATATGTGTGACAAATAAAACCCCATCAAAACTGGCGTGTTATAAACTGTATTTAATATAAGATACAAGTATTCACTTTACTAAGCATGATCACTCCTATTGGTAATTTCATGCGATTGTGTTGACTCAGAGCCTCATCATCTACACGAACTTATTTATGTAGATCTTTTATACTAAACTATCATGTGCTTGCAGCGGTATTGTAACATGTGTTAATGTAAAATGATGTTTGTTTTAATACGATTGTTTCAGATAGCTCATAATTCAAACAATCTCTGCCTTTGGTAATATAGCTTTTACTACAGCTGTTTATTGGTGTTTTTTACTGCAAAGTCTTGGAAAGTGTTATTGTTTAAATAAGTAAATGTTAAACTCGTTGTTGTTTATGCTTATTTGTAATTGTACTTATTTTACCATCAATGTTAGTGGGCACTTGTCTGGTAAAATAATACGTGTGTCTTTGGCATTTTAAAATTAAAATGATGTATTCATATATAATATGTTCAACTGTAAGCATAGTTTGCTTGATATAGTAATAAATTACATTAAATCATGTTTGTCACATGCTGAAGCTGGTCAGGAATACTCTTGGCTCAAATGTCATCGTCGTTGATGAAGATGAGATTGTTACACCAATCACAGAAATGTTTAATTAGTCAGCAGAAGATGTATATTTTTTAATTATTAACGGATTTCCTTTTTCTCGTCCCCTGAGCGGTAAGTCTGTGGGTTTATAACGCTAAAAACTGGATTCCCGTAGTCGTGGTGGGCACAGCACAGATAACCCATTGTGTAGCTTTGTGCTTATCAACAAACAAACAAAATCTCATTTTCCCAAACTTTAACCGTGATAGTAAATACAGTAGGCTATAAAAATACCAAAATCACGATTTATGGATTCTGCCACAACAGTGATGTTTAAAGACTATTGAGTATTTGAAAAAATAATAAAAATGTTACTCATAAATGTTACTTGCGTTTGAATAAAAGGTTCTTATGCATCATATCTTGCTAATGAGCTTAAACGTAATTATATGGTTAATCCGCCCTTTTTTAAGTATCAACGTTTCTCTATATTCGTCTAAATGAATAATCCCTTCATTCAGCATCAACAGAATTTGTAACAAATGATGAATAAATATTTGCTTTTTTCTTGTAAAAATGGGGGTATTTCTTCTATATTTCTATACAAGAAACATTTCAACCATTTTCTTTGGTATATCGTTGTTATCTATTTCTGAATTATAATAAAGACTTAATATACCCTGAAATATAACCTAACAGCAGGTTTTTTTTCTCATTCTAAACGATGGTCTTTTTGTTTACTCAATTTTATGAAATAATGCCGGATCTTCCTGTGATATTTGTTTATGAAAGCATACTTCATAAATAACAAGTATAATCACCTCTCAATCGTAGAATACTTTTTATTTCTTATTCTATGATTTTGATTTCAAAGAAATAAACTTCAATAGAAAGCACTCATACAACACTATCTAATGAGTCTGTGAGGTAGAACTAATTAGGTGTGGTAAGATGGGGACACGTGCCTTCATTACAGCGCCGCCTAAGTGCTATTCACATAAACAAATGAGTGATGCCACCCATAGTTCTTCCTAATCTGAAGTGGCTCTGTTTTATTATTGGTTTGTTGGATCTTTGCGATGTTGTCAATTCGACATTTGAATTGGACAATGGAGCAATAAATAGTCAGCCTTTAGCTGAGGTGTTAAATGTTTTGTGCTATATTTTGTCACTATGAAGCTTTGACGTCAAAGTGAAAGGTTATACACCGTCAAAAGGATAGAAGACGTATCCATAAGGCTGTCAAGTTGAATCGCATATTCAACTAGCTGGAGCTCAGTGATTCAATGTTATACACCTTCAAAAGGGTAGAAGACATAACCATAAGGCTGTCAAGTTGAATCGCATATTCAACTGGCTGGAGCTCAGTGATTCAATGTTATACACCGTCAAAAGGGTAGAAGACATATCCATAAGGCTGTCAAGTTGAATCGCATATTCAACTGGCTAGAGCTCAGTGATTCAATGTTATACACCGTCAAAAGGATAGAAGACATATCCATAAGGCTGTCAAGCTGAATCGCATATTCAACTGGCTAGAGCTCAGTGATTCAATGTTATACACCTTCAAAGGGATAGAAGACATATCCATAAGGCTGTCAAGTTGAATCGCATATTCAACTGGCTAGAGCTCAGTGATTTCAGCTCTTGTTTTTGTTTAATCTCATTTCATAACACCAACGGAAGTTTTCACTTTTTATTTTGTTGTTGATGAAAGTATCATTAGAATTAGAAATGTTAATTCTTCTGCTTCTTTATTGATTAATTCAAGTGACAGTTTTTAACTACTAGAACAGATTGTACCTTTTCTTATTCACTGCAAGTTTGTATTTTAAGTTCTTTGTAAGTAAATACATATTATCAAATTATAAGAAGTACGAACAGTCTGAACATACTCAAGTCTCTCTTATCTGAAGAAGACCTTTGTGGTCACCTTAAAGCTTCTATTTTCCAACTAAAGGTACTCTGCTGGGTCAGCGATAAGTTCATGGACTTTATGCTCTAAAATTCGGGGTTCGATCTCCCGCAGTGAACAAAGCACAGATAACCCATTGTGTAGTTTACACCACTAAGAAAGTTAACTAGATATTTGTAACATGCTACTCATTTTGAAAGCTGTGCTACTAATCTTATTACAGGTAGAACTTACAGAGACAAACAAAGCCGAGAATAAATCAATCTTTTCTAAAATTAAAGTAAAAACATAAGAGTTTTAAATAATTTAATGGATTTATTTAGTATCAACCTCATCTCTCACTAAAGCAAAAATATAAACAGCATTCAATATACGCATAACAGGTTGAACATCGCTCCAGGTTTTCGTTTTTAAACAAGACAATGTGACATATTATCCCAAAACTTTTCTTTTGTACTCAGAAAAATATGTATGTAATTCTAAAACCTTCCTTTGTTCTTCTTTCACTCTTACATCCTTCCTACTTAGATAAGAATAAGTTTAATATAACAAGGCGAATAACTTTATTTGTAAGGATAATGTTGAAGAATAGGATCACCCATAAACTCTTTTCCCAAGCCAGTGTGTACGCAATATATACTGGACAAGTTTACTAACCGCCACATGTTGTAGTTGTCATATCGCATTAAAATGTTAGCTATTCTCCTTTCAATTAACTGGCTAAATAATCATGGAAAGGAGAAACATTGAATTTTCGTATGTTCAATGTTTACTTTATTTTATTCTTTAAGAAATACTCCTTTTCTCCTCGACCTGAGTTTAAGCCTATTCTCATCCTCTTACTCCTTGGTTTTAGCCCTAAAATATTTCCCCCGATTTCAATCTCCTTTCCGCATACGTATTACTAGAGTTTCTTGCGTGTGCCACAGCAACATATATATCTATAAAAGTTTTCGAAAATGCGTATTTTATTAGAATGAAAATAATAAGAATGATATCAATGTAGCGGATATTTAACTGTAAACTCCACATTTATTGTGTTTATATCAACGAAACAGAGAAAAGAAAAATAGTAAACTCTTACCTTGAAGTACTAATAATAGAAACATCGACAATTTCCACATCTTAAAAGTCCTCTGTCAGCGTCTAAAAAATAGCACAACTTGGCAACCGTCAGCTCTGAAGTTGTAATCCGCTTCTTGTGTTTATATATTGCACAGTGGATTATCCTACTGACAACTGTAGGGAGTATAGTTTTCAGCATCGATTGCAAGAGGAAAATTCAGTAATCAAACTCTTCTGTGAATTTTATTCACTACCTAACGTTTCGTTTTTATACATTTATTTATTTTTAGGTTTCACGAACATTTCCTTGCTTTATCACAGTTTGTTTGTAGTTAAGTATAAAACTACACAGTGGACAATCTGTGCTGTGCCCACCACGGGTACCGAAACCCGAATGGGGGCTGAAATTATTGGAAAGACCAGAAAGAGAGATGACCATAAGAAAAAAAGTACATTTCATATTATTACCACAAACCCCGTATTTATTTTATAATTGTAACTAAAGACAAATAAAAAGTGTGTGTGTATGTAAAAAAATCATTCCCCGATAGCACTGGAATTCGGGGTTTCATTCTGCAACCGACTTAGCTTTGCGATGAAACAAATAAGTAAACAAAAATAGTTTGTTCCTATTTAAGTAATTCACATAGAATGTTCTAAGCACAATACACAAAAAGTGTGTTTAAAAAAATGGAATAACTGTGTCTGAACTCACAACAAATTTTCGTTTTAATTACGATTAAAAAAGCGGTTTGCTGGCGAAACTTCTGTAGACAGTCCATAGTTATAGCGTTCAGTACTATTTGTTAATGATATACATCTGCAGACAGTCCATAGTTATAGCGTTCGGTACTATTTGTTAATGATATACATCTGCAGACAGTCCATAGTTATAGCGTTCGGTACTATTTGTTAATGATATACATCTCCAGATAAACCATG